TCTGATGTCATCAGCTTCCCAGGAGAGCTCCGCTGGTAGAGTGGGGGGCCTGTAACGAGGAGACTGCAGTGGCGGGGCGGGGGCCCAGTGCGCCTCGGGGCCAATGCCTTGGGCCGTGCTGGCCTCTCTCAAGCATCATCTTGGTTGCCAGAGACCCAACACCCCAGGCTGTGCGGGTCATGGCGTGAGCCCCTCTGAGGTCTCTTCCTTGACATCGCCCCCAGATCACTCCGCTGATCTCACCAAGCCCAGGGGCTCTGCGAGGTTGCCCTGGGGGACCTTGAGGAGATAGCCACCTCATTTAGATCCCCACCTCGCTGTGAGCCAGGTCCAAGCACAAGAAACGACAGAGATTTTGGTGGGAGACAGATGTCTCCTGGCTCTCGCCATCCTGGCCTCACCCTCCTCAGCACGGCCCTGCCAGGACCGGGCTCCGTCCACTCGGGGAGCAGAGCACTCATACCCACTACAGTCCACCCTGATGGGTTCAAATGTCCTCAGAGGAGGAAATGGGGAGGCTTGGGACAAGCGGGCAAGAGGCTGTGGACCCCTCTGGGCCTGGTGGGTTTCCAACAGCGTGGATCATGTAGGCCAGGGAGCGTGGGCTCTGGAGCCACTCGACTCTGCACTCAGTAACTCTGTGATGACAGAAAGGCACTAAACCCTTCTGAGCCTCACTTCCTCTGAGGGGACTCCTAAGAGGACCTGCATCATGGGGATGACATAATACAATGGTGCCTGCACACAGCAAGGACGGTCCCTAGGCCAGAAGCCCCTGGGGTGTCCTCTTCCAATTCTTCAGCTGGAAGAGGCCCTCCCGGCCCAGACTCGCAGGGCACTCACTCACAGTGAGCAGTGACAAGGCGCTTTGCTGTGGGGCTGGTCATCACTGCTGCCATATCCCCTAGGCCCTTTCCACTCAGAGCCCACCGGCTCAATGCCAAGCCAGAAGTCTCTCTGAGCATGATGCCAGGTCAGCGCCGCCCTCCTTCACGGCAGCCCTGGGTTGGAAGCCCCTGCTGAGGTAACTGTGGGCTTGCTCTGCACCCCTCCCAGAGGCCCCTAGGGGGCTTGAGCCCTCTCTGCCCAGGGCGCTGCCTTCCAGCCTCCCAGCCTGTCCTGGGATCCCCTCCCAATTAAACTTGAGTGTAGTTGGATTTGAATTCTGGTCCCAGGGCCTGCCTCTGGGGGAGCCCAAACTGAGAGTTTCACATGGTTCTCAGCTAGCTCTCCCCAAGACCAAGTGACTCAGAGGCTGGACCTGGGTCAGAGGGAAGGCTCCTCCTTCAGGGGCTCTGAGGGTCCAGGACCAGGATTTTGTTACCAGGCTCTGCAGATCTTCTGCTGTTTTTGGTGCTGTGATAAGAGCCGTCTCCTTCCATGTTCTTGCTCCATGTGTCAACATCCTTTTATCAGCCCTTGTATAGGAGGCTGCCGGCAGCATGTGGTAACAGCAAAGTCACGCCCAGTTCTTCAGGAGGTAGAATCAGAAAATTGGAGGATTACGAACATAAATTAGGTGTGATATCTTATTTACTCTCATAACAACCCTGAAAGCAAGGCTGCCACATACAGTCGGGCAGGTTGTTCACTGCCCAATAGCATCTGGCCAAGAGGACAGCGCATGTTCTTCCTAGCAAGCAGCATACCTGGCACATATCTGTGTCTCTCCGGGTGGTGAGGGGAAAAGAAGGAAAGCTTTTCACCATTTGGAAACTGAGGCACAGAGAACTTAAGTAATTTGCCCCAAGATTTCTTAGCATGTAAGAGGTTGGACTGATTCCAAGAATTCTGGCTTCAGAGCCTCCAATCCTTATTACATGACTTCATGCAGCCTTGGCAGGACTGAGCCAGTAAGGAGGACTGGAAAGCTGGGGAGGGCCAAGTCACTCCTAAGACATGGGGACTCCAAAGAACCAAGGGGAGACAGTCATCTCTCCTTGGCTGACCAGGGATCTGGGGGCCGAGCCTGAGCTACCTGCCACGAGGAATGAGGCCATAGCTGGAAGCAAGGAGACTGCAATTCCGTGGCTTCGTGATCCTGAGCAAGTCACCTGGCCTCACACAGCCTCAATTCCCACCTGTAAAATGGAATTTACAGGCCCCACCCTGCCTGTCTCCCTGGCTGGGATTAAACCAGATGTCTAAGGACTTCAAGGGGAAGGAGGTATTCTCCAGCGCCTAAAATCACACCTAGAATTGCCTAAGTTAAAGCTCAATACATATTTGCCATCTGCTTAATAAAACCGTTATTTCCCAGGTCTGTCTGTGGCAACACCCTCCGCAGCCCCCGCATTTACCACCTGAGAGCCTGTCCTTCCCTGACACGGAACAGCAGAGCCTGAATGCCGGGGCGCTCCCGGCTAATGACTCAGCCTCCATAACGAGTCCAAACATCTGGCTGACGAAGGGCACGGCTTACTCCTGAAGCGACTCCTGCACAAATATGTTCTTAATATTCAATTAGTATTTATCCACCACGAATAACAATTACACCACTGACTCTCAATGAAATGCCTGGTTAATTAATGAACGCCGTCTTTAACATGCTAGCAGTTATTTCTCTGCGAGTGCAACAGTTAATAAGCACGGTGACACCGGGACGAGCCAGGGGCTGGCGGGGGTGCCCGGGGTTACCCGGGGCTCCAGATGTGAGTGTGGAGCTGAGCATGTGTCACACAAGTCATCTTCTGGAGTTAAAACACACACACACCCTGGGATTTGTAGCAAGCCGCTTAACCCCTCCTCACCCCAGCCTGTTTCCTCCTCAGTAGCAGGTGCACCAGAGGATGGCCAAGGCTCCCTGGAGTCCTGACCGCATGGGTTCCATCTGTGATACTCAGATCTGTATTGGCCCCTCCCATCTCCACACACAAGGACCGCCTCACTCCACTCAGCCCCATCTCAGGGGGGAGCTGCTGACCACACCCCCTGCACCTCCTTCCCCTTCACCAGCCCCCTTCCCCTGCTCCCTCCCCTGTTCCCTGGAGCTAGGTCCCCCTTCTGCTACTGTTTCTGACCTCTGCCTTCTCCCAGCCTCCCAGTCCAGCCCCTCAGCTAGCAGCCTCCAGGTCCCCACTGCCCCCCTCTGCCCCCAACTTCCTCAGAGCCAACTGAGGGCACAGAGCATGGGGACCAAGCTGCCTGGATTCATCCTGGCACTCCACTTACTAGCTGTGTGACCCAGGGCAAGTTACCGAAGGCCCTGTGCCTCAGTTTCCCCACTTCCAGAATGCAGATAATCACGTGGGAATGACGGCAGCCTCCCCCGCATTAGTCAGGGCAGGCTAAACTACCATGATCGACCCCAAATGCAATGGCTGCTTATTTCCCACTCACATTTTAGCCCGGGAAGGGTAGCTCATGGCAGCAGGTGGGTCAGGCTCTTTCCCTCCTATGGCTTCCCCCGGCCCAGGGGCCCTGCCGGTGTCCCCCTGGTTTCAGCGGGGTCTCCTCTGTGTCCCGCTAGCCAGCTGGCCGAGGGGAAGGAGTGGGGAGGCACACCTCCCTTCGGCTCAGATGTCCTCGCTGAGAAAGTGTTACACGGGCTGGCTGGGCTGTAAGGCAGGCCGGGAGATGGGTCAAGTCATGTGCCCAGGGAGGAGAAAGGGGACAATGACGGATGGAGAGTGGCCTCTGCCACATGCCCTGGGAGGGCTGTTAAGGAAGATCAAATGAGTTAATAAATATAAAACACTTAGCACTTGGCACATGGTAAGTATCCTATAAGCAATTGCTGTGATGTCTCCATATTCCCACACTAGGTTCTGTGGATCGCAAGATGAAGGACACACTCCCTATATGTGAGGACCCGAAGAGGAGGGGGGCAGAGGAGAGTCCCATACAACCCACACGTAATTCAGAAGGGGCCACACCCGAGATGCATTCAAGGTGCCATTGCTGGGTGGAAGTGAGGGGCTGGGAGGAGACGTGGGGCTGAGTCTTAAGGAATGGTGGCAGTTGACAGGTAGTCCTGGTCACATCATGAGGACAGACACCAATCGAGGCTGGAGAGACCAACTTTCTCCCAGGAGCACTGGGGTTTGGGGGAAGTCAGCACAGTGAAATGACATTAAGTGACCGATGTTTCAGAATGTTCCTTGGGTGCAAAAAGGAGGGTGGATTGGAACAGCCGTGGACTGGCCCTCAGCAACCATTCTCACTCCCGTCTGGCACACCTGCCGGTCTGGCAGGGCTTGGCAAGCTAGACACTACATTTCCAAACTCCCTTGCAGCTAAGTTTTAAAATCTGAATTTTCTGGGGCGCCTGGGTGGCTCAGTCGTTAAGTGTCTGCCTTTGGCTCAGCTCGTGATCCCAGAGTCCTGGGATCGAGCCCCACATCGGGTTCCCTGCTTGGCGGGAAGCCTGCTTCTCCCTCTCCCACTCGCCTTGCTTGTGTTCCCTCTCTCGCTGTCTCTCTGTCAAATAAATGAAATCTTTAAAAAAATAAAAATAAAATAAAAAATAAAATAAAATCTGAATTTTCTGAATTAAGTTCTGCCTAAAACAATCTGAATTGGGGGGACACCTAAATGGCTCAGTCAATTAAGCATCTGCCGTCAGCTCAGGTCATGATCCCAGGGTCCTAGGATAGAGTCCCACATTGGGCTCCCCGCTCAGCGGGGAGCCTGCTTCTCCCTCTCCCTCTGCCCCTGCCCCCTACTTGTGATCTCGATCTCTCTCAAATAAATAAATAAAATATATATTTTTAAAAATCTGAATTAGGTTCTACCAGGTGGAAGCAGTCACCCATGATCTGGAAGGTGCAGTGAGATGTGGCCGTCTTTCTCTTGCCTTGTCTGTTTCTAGCTGGCAAGGAAGAAGAGACACGGGGTGGCTCTGCAGCATCCAGGGTCCAGCCTCCAGCATCCTGCAGAGACCACTGCAGGAGACAGGGGCATCCTCCTCCCGGCTTCCAGACCCGACTCTCAGCTGCAGGGTGCAGGATGTGTTCTCAAATGAACAGCTCTAATGTTGGCCTGGGAATCAGCCTTCCTGGTCAGACAGAGGCACCGCTCTCCTGGGAGCCAGTTCCGCAGTACAGTGTGGCCGTTGTCCCTGCCAGCACTTCCAAGGACTGGATCAGCACCCGGTGGCCTGAGGCAGGCGGGCCAGCAAGGGGGCGTCAGGAGTGCTCGAGGCAGAGATGGCTAAAGCAGGGCGCCTGGGTGGCTCAGTCGTTGGGCGTCTGCCTTCAGCTCAGGTCATGATCCCAGGGTCCTGGGATCCAGCCCTGCCTCGGGCTCCCTACTCAGC